CAAGGGCTGAGAGTCAGAAGGCAGGACGGGGAGTGGAGATCTGGCGTCTGTTCATGAGAAACCTTGACTTTCTGTTACACCGACCTCAAAGGGCAAGGAGAAAAATGTACTGATGTACAACAGTGAATACAGTTTTTTTTTTTTATAAAGGTCACTTTGATAAATGGTTTATGTTGCCAAAATCACATTGCTTAGAATGTTTTTTTGTTCTTTTTAAGCTTTTCATAATATATCTTGTTTCCTGTATCTTTTTTAAACTCATATTTTCTTTTTCTCATTTGTTTTTCCCTTTTTGAGTCTTATACATATATCCATTTATTTAGAGCTTTGGTGGTGATTATGATATTTGGGGTTTTGCTTGTTTATCTGAGTAGTGTTCTTGTTTATATCCCCTGTGCCTGGTACTTAGTTACATGGACAAATGATGACTGAATTGTGGGAGAAGTATGCAGGGCAAAAGTCTGGTGGGTCCAGTTCCTAGGAGAGACCTGGGCTCCAGGGGTGCAGAGAGGAGCAGGGCTTGTATGATCCGGAATCATTGTGGCCCTATCAATGTGGATGTGCTGCTTCCAGAACAGGGAGATTCTAGAACATTGCAGTTCAAAGGGACCTGGGATTCCATTCAGCTGAGCCTCTGGAACCTCATAGCAGTTATAGCACAAGGCAGGGGATGGCAGCACCCTATTTCAGAAGGAGCCAGGCTTTGGAGTCAGATGGATCTGGATTTGAATTCTTGTCCTAAGACTAACTAGCTGTGTGACTTTAGCATAACCTCTCCGTGCCTCAGTTTCCTCTTCTGTAAATTAGGGATGATAATAATAATACCTACCTCATAGGGTTGTTATGAGGATTAATTGAGTGAATACATGTAGAAGAGTACCTGACACATAATAAGCATTGAATAAGTGTCAGCTATTATTATGTTAACAATAATAGAATATAAAATCCCTAGAATAGTGCTTGGCCACTAGCATATCTTGCAACATGTTTGCTCCCCAGACAAGGTATGAGTTTTATTGTCAATTTAGGGCTGGGGGTAACTAATTGCCTCTGAATGGGTTCCCCACTCCTGGGATGCTGTCTCATCGCCTGGTGATTGGTGATGCCTGAGCTGTTTCCTTACCTACCAAACAGAAGGGCTTCCTCAGGGTGTAGTTTCCAGAGAATCCTGTGAGCTTTTCATTCACCAATGTGTTTTCTATTTAGAGACAGAACGGTAACCCCAGCAGGTAACCTGCAGTTTACAGTGCAGCCTTAGCCACAAGACAGGCTGCATTTTTAGAGACCAAACACTTTTTTTCCAGAGGTTTATTTAAAAAACATTCAACAGGGCTGGCCCCGTGGCTTAGCGGTTAAATGTGCGCGCTCCGCTACTGGCGGCCCGGGTTCGGATCCTGGGCACGCACCAACGCACCGCTTCTCCGGCCATGCTGAGGCTGCGTCCCACATACGGCAACTAGAAGGATGTGCAGCTATGACATACAACTATCTACTGGGGCTTTGGGGGGGAAAATAAATAAATAAATAAAATTATAGAAAAAAAACCAAAACATTCAACAGAGCATTAAAGTAATTTCTTACAGAAAGGAGAAGGGCCTTAGCTTTTACTCTGTGGCTCTTTCCAGGTGGAAACCACATGATCCTTGACTAGGAGCACTGACTCTGACCAAGTGACTCTGTTGCCTTCTTTTCCTGAAGGTGTATAATTTGGGCCCTGTTAACCTTCTCTTAGGAGCCCTGTTTCTCAACTTTTTATTTTTGGACATTCTGCTCTGGATTATCTGCTTTGTTTCTTTAACTTCTGCCAAAATGGAGAAATAAATGTGTGGTAAACAATCAAAGCACAGAAAAAAGAACGGGGCCGAGTCCTGAGTTCCCTGCTCATTGGCTGATGAAAGCAGCGAGTTGTCGGTGTGTGGTGCACAGGGCCTCACGTCTTCCTGCTCTCCTTGTGCCTATCCTTGACTTGTATTTTCTTTTCACTTTTAACAGCTTTATTGAGTTTTAGTTGACATACCGTGTCCCTGAGTTTTTATCTGGAGTTTGACCTTGATTCTTATTTAAACTACTACAGTGTGGTAGAAAGAGTTTTGGATTTGAAGCCAGAGGGGAAGAGGAAAAGGGAATCACATTTATTGTTTGCCCTTCATCGTTCAATTCATCAGATCTTTCTTAAGTTCCTACTATGAGCCAGGCATTGTGAAGGGCACTACAGGGTAGTGGTTCAAGGATGACGTGGGAGCTGGACCTGGGCTGTCTGGGTTTGAATTTCAGCTCCACCAGTTAAGGGAGACCCACTGTTAAGTGGGACCTTAACGACCTCTTATTTAACTTCTCCTGTGCCTCAGGATCCTCATCTGTCAGGTTAGGATGCTAATAGTGTCCACTGATAGCAGTGTTGTGAGGATGAAATGAATTAATAATATAGAGTGAGATGATGATGGTGATGATGACGATGATGATGACAATGACAGTGACGATGATGGAGAGGGATTGGGATCCGGACTTAATCAGACAGACACTTCATTGGTCTTATGCTGCTCACAGTTGTGTGCGTGTGTGTGTATGTGTAGGGCAAAGGTGCTGAGGGATGGACTTGGAGTGTGAGACAGGCATAAATAATTAAGTACAGTAAAGCATGGTGAGTGTTACCACACGACAGGGGAGAGTATTGCGGGAGTGTACAGCACGGAGCCCCAGCCTCCCTCACTGGTCAGAGAAGCATACTGGAGAGAGTGATGTTTAAGTGAAATTGAAAGGAGGAATAAAAGTTAGCTGGGCTGGGGGCAGTGAGGGGAGGTTGTGTTCTGTGTTTTGGGCAGAAGAAACAGTATTTGTGAAAGTCCAAAGAGAAGAGCAATCCTGTGGTATTTAAGGAACTGAGGAAATCCAGTGAGTCTAGAGCATGGGATGTGAGCAGAGTGGTGAGTGATGGAGCTGGCAGTGAAGTCAGAAATCAGACCATGGAAAACTTGTGAGTCATATTGAGGAGTTTGTGTGACTAAGAACCAGGTACTGTCCTTGGGGGTTTCCATTAATTCCTTCAAGCATCACAACTCTGTGATATAGGTGTTATTAGACCTATTTTGTTGATGGGGAAGTTGAGGCTCTAAAAAATTGTCACTTACCCAAAGGCACAGACTTAGAAGATAGTAGAGTCAGGATTTGAACCTAGGTCTCTCTGGCTCCAAAGCTAGAGTTCTTTTGATGACACTGTATGCCCTCTGAACTTGAAGTCTGGCTGTTAGCTTTATGACTTTGGGCTATCCTCAGTTTACTCACCTGTAAAATAGGTAACATATTAATAAATACCAGCCTCATAGACGTTTAAAAACAAATGGAAGTATACATAAAGTGCTAAGTATAGTGCCTGGCATATAGTGTGTTCAATGACTGCTTATGGACCTAGATTCTTGACAGAGAAATGTTTTTCCTTCACAGTCCCATGAACTGAGACAGAAACCCATGAGCTGCCACCTGCATGTTGGCTTGGTTGTCAGTCATCTTTCCAAGGACCACTTGAAATCCACATAGATATCACCTTTGCATCACCTTTGTAGAAGGGAATCTACTCCCCTAGCTACTTGACAGGCAGTGCAGAGGGCTCTCCTTCTGCCCTGCAACTCTGCAGTCATTTGAGTTTCAGTTCACTGGTAGGAGTCACCCTGAGGCTTCTCTAGCTCTCCCAAGCATCCTTCCCTTCACGGGCTCCCTGAGCATCCTTTTCCTCTTCCTCCAGAGTCCACCAGGCTTATTTTGTCTATAACTTTGTGAAATGAGCTCCTCTGCTGGTTTGAATTGTATTTAGCTTTGTTGGTCTCAAGCGCAGAGACTATCTCATCTCTGTATTTCCTATGATGATTAGCATAGTACTATAGGAGGGACTCAATGGATTACCAGTTGTTTTCACCAGGATAGGGCTTTATGGGTACCAAGGCTCTTTTGTATAGTTTTTTTTTTTTTTAGTCTTCACAAGAGTCCTCTGAAGTAGACAGAACATAGAGGATTCTTTTTAGCACAATTGGAGAAACTAAGGCCTACGCTTAAGCAATATGTCCATTAATTAACTCTTTAATTCTATAGAGTGAACATTTACTAGGTATAACTCTGTTGCATGGGCTAGGAAGAGAGCTGAAGGATGTAATCCCTTCCTTCAAGGATAAGGTACACAGTTGAACGAATAATTGTACACAGCAAGTGAAGTTTTAGGGCAGAGGAATGATGAAGGTGTTTAACTTTATTTGGGGAAGATCAGTGAAAAATTCAGAGAGAAAGAAATGGTTGCATTGAGCCTTAAAGGATTGACTTCACGCCACAGAAGGGGTGGGAGGGAGGGCATCCCAGGCAGAGGATATACCGCAGCTCATAGGAATGAAAAGACAGGTAGTCTGGGAGGCTCTACAGCATCAGCGGGGCTGGCAGGAGGTGCATAGGAATGAGGTGGTGGTAGAAGGGAAAGATGGTGATCACTCTCACTGCCAAGACCCCAAGACCCCCAGGACTTGCAGGAGACTGAGAAGGCCCTTCCTAGTTCCTTCCCTGTCATTCAGTCTCCCAGTCCCTAGGCCTTCTTCCTAGAGCCATACACAGCACTTACGTAAACTACTTTAGACTTTGGAGGGGCTCTCTTTTCTCCCTGCTTCCTTGTACTTCCAGCTTGTCTGCACATAGATTGTAGTCTCCTTTCCCCGCTAAAAGAAAGCATCTTATCACAGGAGCGACCTGTGACCTGACTACTTGGAAGAATAAAGGTTACCAGGTGAAAGGACATATGTGTCATCTACTGTCAGTGGCGTGAGGTAACTGAGAAGGCATACAGTCCATCTGTGACCAAACACCTGTGCTCCTCTTTCACTGGCAGAGTCACCAGAGGGGAGCATTAAATTGCTCTTCAAATGAGTCAGACCTGTTGTTCCCAGGAGACTGGGCTGGCGTAGTGTGAGCTCCGTGGGCAAGTCTGACCAGGCCCCATCTCACGCTTGCCTGTGTTTGCCTTGCAGCTGTGTAAATGAGTATGGAAGATTATGATTTCCTGTTTAAAATTGTTTTAATTGGCAATGCCGGTGTGGGGAAGACGTGCCTAGTCCGACGGTTCACTCAGGTAAGACAACTCGCAAGGCCGGGGTTGGGTTTCCCAGTCTGGCCTGAAGGGTTAGGGGAACCTAATAGGATGAGTGGTTCCAGTGCCAGGCTCCTGGCTGCCAGTTCTTAACATGCACTTTGAAAGTGCACCAGCTTTGCAGCCTAGACTAGTTTTTTAAACCATCTCAAGGGGGTATGGCTGTGTGGGTCACCCTCCCCCGCCTGCCTCTGTTGCTTCCTTTGATGAAAGGGGCAAGTGGTCTTGCTTTCTGTGTGCAGAATCAAAAGTAGATTACTAGATAAAAAATAGATGATTAGGGCCGGCTCCGTGGCTTAGCGGTTAAGTGCGCGCGCTCTGATGCTGGCGGCCCGGGTTCGGATCCCGCGCGCGCCCCGAGGCACCACTTCTCCGTCCAACCCGGGGCCGAGTCCCACGTACAGCAACTAGAAGGATGCGGACCTATGACGTACAACTATCTACTGGGGCTTTGGGGGGAAAAAATGAATAAATAAAATCTTTAAAAAAAAAAAATAGATGATTAGTTAATAATAATCCCAAGGTAGAAACCAATGAATCTGGACATCAAATTATACTTAAGTATTAATTTTTTAAAAACTCAAATACAAATTAAACCTTTCAAACTGCCTGCCTATGCCTTCTCATGTCCTTCCAGAAAACTGAGTGAATCATTTTGGTTTAGAACCAAATATGCTGATTTTTCTAGATCTATTAAATGGGAATGAAATTTGTATGATCGAAGAACAATTTCTCTTTGGGGCTTCCCTTTTGAGAATTACTGCCAGCGATTATACACCTGTTTTTATACAGAAATGAGTAGGAAATCATTCTGAGATTGACTCTCTTTTGTGTTTTCCCAGAAAAATATGAATGGCATCCTTTTCAGGATTGCCATGCATGCATCTTGCATTTTCATAAAGTGCTAGTTGGAAAAGTTGAGACTAGTTCTTATCTCTAAGGCATAGGGCAACCTGGTGCCCTGGGAAGAACACTGGCTCAAGAGTTGAGACACAGGTCATAGTCTTGGCTCTGCCCCCGGCTCATCCTGTGAGCCTGAGTCAGTTCCCCACCCTTGCTGGGCCTCCCTGCCTCCCTGCTGCACATGAGGGGCCTGGTGATCTCCAAGGCCCCTTCCAGCTCCAACAGTCTGTGGTTCTGTGGAAAACTGGAGAGGCAGATTGGATAATACAAACAGCTTTAGGGCAGAGAGTCACCTTTGGAAATGCCAAGGTTTTTCCTGTGATAATGAGCACGTGCTTTTTACTAAGCCTTGGCCTGGTTGAAATCAAAAGTAGCAAGCTAACAGGCATCTGGGCTCAGTCAACCATCATGGCGTTATGTTGGAAACTCCAACTGGTTTTACTTCCACTTAACGTTAGTAATCTTTTCTGCTTTTGGCAGGAGGACAAGACTGCAGAGACGTAGAGAAGTTTTCAGTCCCTCCATCAAAAGTTCCCTTGACCTTGTATTATTACTGGAAGATCCCTTAGAGATTATTCTGGCCACTCCTCTCATTTTACAGATGAAAAACTCAGGTCTAGATGGGTGAAATGACTTAGCATCTTGTATCATGTTAGTGGCAAGGCTAGGATTAGAACCCAGGTCTCTTGGTTTTCAGCCTGATCATTTTTATTTTCTGCATGTTCTAACCTCTGAGACCATAGAAATCCGGCTTTTCTCTTTAAAAACGTAAACCTTGTCATTAGAGGTAAAAATGCTTCCGTTTTTGAACACTAATTTTTACCAATAAGCACACCACCCCTTATTTTTCTATCTACTTTTTACCCCGCCCATTCCCTCATCTGCCCCAAAAGTTCGTATTTCATAGACAGGATTATGTTTGTTTTTGCTATTTAGTAGACAGTTACAATGAATTGGATTCAGCTGTTTTGAGGGCATAAGGAGTTGAGGAACAAAATGATGGGGGAGATGTTGGGAAGGATTTGTTTTATTTTTTGGCATTTGTTAGACTGTGAAACAGCTGGAGCTATAAACTTGACACTTGGCAGCCTTGTGTTTGAGCCAAACCAAAATAGAAGAAAATTGATTCAATATTTGTAAGTAAAGTTATGAATGTTTATATTTACATCTTTTGCAGACATGCAATGGAACATTTTTTGTTGGTTTGAAGCTCAGTCTTTTAAGTTCAAACTTTAATTAAAGAACTCTCTTGTTAGGGAATGAATGTAATTAAAGATGCCCCAACCTTAGCTGCCAGAGCTAATAAAGTCCATTGTACTTTAATTTCTGGAAATTCTGGAATATGAGTGAAGTGGAAAGAGAAACGAGGTGAAGAGTTTTTTCTTGGTAGAATTACTCCCTCCAACTCCCTCCCTAAGCTTACAGGAAATATTATGTAACAGTAAATTATGTTATACATGTAATTTTGCTAAAATCCTTTCTCGTTCAGCTTTCAGTTTGAGGTAAGGCTTTTTTTTGTTTGTTTTGAAATGCTTACCTCAGCCTCAAACTCATTGAATTCGAGCCCAGGGAGGGGGCCTGGTTTACCTGATGTCACACAGAGATCCTAAGGCTGCTGCCTCCTGATTTAGTGCTATTTCTATTATATTTTCTCCCTGAATGACTTTTTTTTCTTTGATTATCTTCCCAGTGTCATTAGCCCTGATCTCATGTAATTATATATGTATGGTACATTGCACTGAGGCGAATAGTTATCACCCTCAGGGCAGAAGGAAATGCAAAAGCTTAGCGGTCTCGTTCATGTTTCTCGTACTGAGTTCTTATTTGTTTTTTCATATTGGCTGTCCATGCCCTAGACTGATAACCAGTTTTAATCTTCCTTGATTTTGCCTCTTTTAAGCACCTATCTGTTTTGCCCCCACCCTCACAATCCTGATCTTATCCCTGTGGCTCCATGCTCCTCAACCGTATCCTTGTATCTGATTTTTCTGTTTCATTCTTTGAAATGAGATCCCCCTGCCCTTTCCCAGTTCTCTCCCTTCGCCTTCTTTGTCTTTCTCCCCCTTTCCCTTTCTTTCTTCTTTCAAGCATTTCTCTCTCCCACTTTTTCCCTCCTCCCTCCTCCCCTCAAAACATATATACAAAGTTAAACAGGACTCCCAGGACACTAAAAAGAGTTCTTTTTTCTATGAGTTAACTCAGCCAAAATAAGGGGTTGGCAATGGGTACTGATGGGAGAGAGGGAGGAGAATTTCTTTTAATTGAAAGATTTGCTTAATTGTTATTTTCCATTATTTCTTCTTTAGGGTCTTTTCCCCCCAGGTCAAGGAGCCACAATTGGAGTTGATTTTATGATTAAGACAGTGGAGATTAATGGTGAAAAAGTAAAGGTAAGATGCTAAGTGTTCAATAAGGCTTTCATTGTGCTGTGTGAGAGGAAGTAGTGTTTTCATAACATTTATTAAATCTCCTCGTTTAAACCCCTATTGAAATGATATACTAGGCCATGGCAGCTTATTTCCAAACAGAATTCTTCTCTCTCCTTTATGGCGGCAGGAAGAGGTTGTGGATGATGTGTTTACAGATGGGAAGACAGAAAGAGAGGGGCTCAGGCAAGTTGGTCCTGTCTGCTGTCACGTCAGAGGTGCTGGAAAAACAAAGAAGAAATTTCTCTTTGGGATCTCCTGAGTTGGGCCAGTAAGCAATGCTACCTCTTCTGAACAACAGCCCCATGAAAGCCCCCTGATTCCTACGTTCATAATGGGTCATTCAGTCATATGTATCATTTACTCGAGTTATTCTGTCTCCCACCCTACCGCTATCCCTAGTAAGAGAGAAATACTAAATGAGGGGCCCAGGAGGGATCCATGATCTCTCTCTTCCCCTTTGTGCCTCTGAGGGTTTGGTACCTGTAAGAACTATGGTATGTCCAGTAGCAGGTGGAGGGAGGTAGTTTTTATTGAGGGCCTAATATGTGTTAGGCCCTCTGCTAGGTGCTTTTACATGTGCTGTCATATTTAACTTAATCCTTACTGTAAAGCCTGTGAGGTAAGTGGTAAATTATCTTCATTTTATAGGTTTCAGAGCGGCTGAGTGACTTATTTATCCATGGCTTATCAGTTAGGAAGGGAGGTAGGCAGGGTCTGAACCAGTTTAGTGAGCCAGTGTACTCACTGCCTCCCTGCAGTCTCCTCTGCCATGAGAGAAAAGGGGAATGAAGGCACAATAGGCCTGTCACCTTGGAGCAAGGAAAGGGGGAAGGTGATGGGAAGAAATGTGAAGCGAGACTAAATTATATGGAAGGAGAATAGAGAGACTGATCTTTGGCACCATGCTCTTCCTGCCCCTCCAAGTTAGTGAAATTCCACCGTCAGATCTCTCAGAGCTGAGGCCTGTGGAAAGAAGTGATGACCCTGGCATCAGCAACACAGTGAAAAACGTGGCATCAGGGTTCCAGCTAGATTGCAACCTAAGCATCCCAAGTTTGAGTCCACATCATTTGCACCCTTCTCTCATATGTACCTGCACTCCTGCCTTCAAATGCCTCGGGAAGGGCAGAGAAGCTCCAGGGTGCTCATGATGCATTTCATAGACATACAGAGAAGAGTTTAGGATGAGGCTCCTGAGTGGGGGCCGGAAGCTCTCCCAATGTCTCTTCCAGCCCTGACTCCTCAAAGTGGTTTCTTACTGCAGACACTTCTACGCCAAATATGATAGTCATGGAGAGCTGGGGCCCTGGAAAACAAAAGCAGGGTGTGAAATCCATGTATATGCCGACGAGAAAGCTCAGAAAAATAGTGCATTGGGGTGGGGAGAAGGAGCTAGGGTGTGGGATAGGAAGGAGACAGGAGTGTGCACCCAAGAGGCATTGGCAGGAAAAGCCACTTGTAGCTTTCTATTGTTTCAGCAGAACGGAGGTGATTGCCCTCCTGAGGGCAGATAAATACTGTAAAATATTTAAATAAAGGTAAATACTGTAAAAATCAGGCATTTTACTTCTAAATGTTTGGGTTTCTCGTTTATATACATATATTGTGTGAGTTCATTCCTTTGACCAGAGATATTAGTGCCTACCATGTGCCAGGCACCAGGAATGAATAGAGGTGGATAAGAAACCATCGCCACTGTTAAAGAACAGGCTTAGTTTTCTTTCCTGAATCGCCTAGGTTTAGGTATTACATTTATTCCCCTTTCTGTGAACCATAGCCTCATTTTTAAGTGTTTATTATGCTTAGCACTTTTTTTGATAACATTTGACTCCACCCTGAGCCCACAGGCTCCCCAAGAGCCAGGTTTGTGTCTTACTCATCTTGTGTCAGTACAGTTCCTGTCCCCATCATGGCATTAGGCCTCTAGACCTTCATCTATAAGAAGTGAGAGTTGGCTAATCTCCCAAATCCAGTTCTAATTAATTCGCCTATGGTTCTTTGTAGCTGTATATGTAGATTCAAGATAAAAGTGACCCTCTTCAACCACATTAATTCAATGACTTCATTAACACTCGGACACATGAGGAGCAACTTCTTAGTCCTTCAGTAGAAGAGGGCAGAGCTGCCCAGGCTTCACTAAGGAAGCAGTTGTTTTATTGTTGTCCTTGTTCTTTAACATTTAGTGAATACCTCTTCTTGGTGATGTTGAAGTGTCTTCTTGCTGGTAGTTTGTAGGCTTTTTCAGAGCCCCATAGAGGCAATGGAAAAGGGAATCCACTAGTGGTTTGTACAGGATTACCTGCCACATGAGTGCCAGGGTAGGACAAGAACCTAGGTCTCTCTCCTGACTTCTCATCACCCCCCTCAGCCTCTTCTGTTGTCTCCTTCTTTCTAGGATGGCTCCCAGGAATGAAAGCAGGGAATCAAAGGTATTAGTAAGATGTTTGTAGCTATTAAGGCTTACTGCCAAATCAGTAAAGGCAAAGTTGAAGAAGAGGCCCTTCTCTTAAAGTGGTCTGCATTATGAAGGTGACTTGGGCAGAAAATATAACTAAAACATATATAGAATTTTCTCCTATCCATTGATTTTTTTTAGTTTATCATAAATTAATGAGTAATAAGCAAAACTCTAAGCTCAGACTACAACATTTTAACCTTAGGAGATTAGTTATAATAAAAATAGAAGATTCGCTGAATTTCTCTCTAATTGGGTGTATATGGCGTAGACAAGAAAGTCTTGAAAGTATGCACATATATTTGCTCCTTTGACCATCTCTCCATCTTGTGTTATAGTGGATGCTTTGTGCCGAGCACTGTGTTAGGTAAAGGATCTTTGCTCCCTAGGAACTTACTACCATCTAGCTCAAACATTTTATCTGTGAAACCTTCTTTAATACCCTACTAATCATCGCATGGAATTAATCAAGCCTTCCTTTGTGATTCCACAATCTTTTGTTCATTCAGTTAGCCACCATTCAAATGTGTCCACCATGGGCCAGGTACTATGTTAGGAAGGCACTGGGGGTGTAATGTTAGATAAGAGACAGACTTTGCCCTCAAGAACTCAGTCTAGTAAGGAGGCACACTGGTAAACCAGTGATTGCAGTACGTTATTGTGACAGTGAGGCAATAGAGGTGTAAGTAATAGTGCAAAGAGGAGAGTGGACGAACAGTGTAGCCCCATGCTGGAGGTATGAGGGTTAGAAAGCCCATGGCTGTGGTATTAAGAAAGTATTGATTGGCATGAGACTAACATTAGGAGACACTTTCTCCTGCTGGTGCCTCTTTAGTAGAACATCTCATATTTTATCATGGTTAGTTAACTGTGTGTTTGTCCTTCCTATAGACTGTGAGCTCTTTGAGATCAGGGATCGTGTTTTATTCATCTTTGTATCCTCCCTGTGCTTAGCACAGCACTGTGCATTTATTAATGACCTGTAAATACTGAAAAGGAGCAAAGGAATTGCAGAGAGAATGATGAACCAATTGAATGATAAAGGCAGCGTAATATGGATATCCTCAAGAATCAACTATAAGGCTAGAAACAGGCAGCCCCCTATAAGAAAGCAGCATCCATCTTGGCAAGGCCATACAATCACTATTCTAGAAAATATCTCAGTGGTTTGATTCTCAAAGCTCTTCTCAAGATGTGCCAGTCATGAGAACATACTGATTTCTAAGTATTAAATCCAATCACAAGTGTTTTTGGAGGCTCAACGTGGCATTAAAACAATAGTCTGTTGTTCTAATACACATCCTGGCAGAGGGGAACCATGTCCCTAGGTTTGAGGCAGGGCAGAGAAATAGCTTTTGTCCCAGCAAAAGCCATAACATCTGTATGGTGGCCTTCAGCATACACAGACTTTCATGCACATCATTGAAGAGCAGCTGCAACTTCAAATCAAAAGAGAGCCTTGTGCCGCTCGCTGGGGGCAGGGACTACCGGTCACCCACCAGTCTCAGCTAAACTGGTGTGAGGAGAGGGTAACACCAACTACCTCATCCTCTTGGGATGCAGATGTATATTTAAATCAGTCTCGGGGCCAAAGGCAGCATGATGGTATAGAATGATCTGTCAACTGGGAATAAGAAGGCTTGGGGTCTGGGTCCCAGCTTTGTGAGTTAGGAGAGTGAGTTTCCCATTAATGAAGGGGAGGCATAAACTTGCCATAGCTCACTGGGTTGTTGTAAGGATTAAATAAGATGGTCAATCAGTATTTGAATATTCACTACTTGCCAGACACTCTATTTGATGCCGGGGATACACCTGTGAGTAAAATGAACCCCCACTTCCCTCTCATGAAGCTTTCAGTTTAGTGAGGAAGGCAGTTATTAAACAAATTAGTACAACTAAATAAATGATTCAAGTATGTCAGGTGCCACGAGGGAACATTACAGGGTGGGTTGTAGGAGAGAATATGTGGGTATGGGGGATGGGGAACCTGGCCTAATCTGAAGGTTCCCGAAGGCCTTCCCTGGGGAATTGATGTTCTGTTAATGGGAGTGAATGCATCTTGGGACATATGAAATTTACGCAATTAGAAGGGAAGATTATTATTGTTGTTGATGTTATTTCTCAAGGCCTTGTGATTTGTTCTACACTCAGCGGTCTCTCTGGAGAACAGTTCTCTTCCAGTCGTCTTCTGCTCTGTGCAGGGAAATTCAGGGAGAAGTGAGAGGCATTCTACCTTCTTCTTTGTTATTAGAACCATCAGTTATTAGGTCTTAGAACTGGTAGATGACTTCAGAAAATGTGAACTGTCAACTGGTTGCATATTATTAATCTCTTTTTTATAAAGAAACCACTGAAGGCCAAGAGATTAAGTGACTTGCACAATGTCACAGAGCTTAAACGTGGTGGAGGAAAATTATTTTCTTTGCCATGGCATTGTTCCTATGTCATTAACAAAGATAATACCTTAATATGTTCATTTCAATTTTGACCTGGAAAAGGTGGTGAAGTTGGATTTTCTCCCTCTCCAGTTGCTGACTGAAATGCCAATAATCACAAAATGACAGCTTGCCCTATATCCTGATTTTTGTAATACAGCGTTGTGGTTAAGAGCATGGAGTCTGGGATATACTGGCTGTGAGATGCTGAGCAAGTTAATTAATCTCTATGTGCCTCAGTTTCCTCAAGTGAGTAATGGATATAGTAATAGTACCTACCTCACAGAGTTATTATGAGGATTAAGAGAGTTATTACATGTAAAGTGCTTAGAATAGAACTTGGCACATGATAAATGCTCAGTAAGTTTTTTGTTTTTTTTTTTAAAGAATAAAGGGGAAACTCTTAAATAATCTAAAAAAGAAAAAAAACAAAAAACAAAGCAAGCCCCTCTCCCAACCCAGACACACTCAACAAATTAAAAAAATTATAAGTGCTTTATTTTTAGGGCAGAAAATAACCATGAAATTATTTGGGTGAAGTTGTTCCCATTTCTAAACTAAAGCAAGACAATGCTTGCTTTCTTTTCTGCTTCTCCAACCTGATGCTTCTCTTATGCCTTTACAGCTTCAGATCTGGGACACAGCAGGTCAAGAGAGATTTCGATCCATTACCCAGAGTTACTACCGAAGCGCCAATGCCTTGATTCTCACCTATGACATAACTTGTGAGGAATCCTTCCGTTGCCTTCCTGAGTGGCTGCGGGAGATAGAACAATATGCTAGCAACAAGGTCATCACTGTGCTAGTGGGTAAGTAAGGACTAATGAGGAGGGAAATTGAGTTGTGGGCATCAGAGAATTTATAATCACATAACGCTTGTGTCTTGGTACCTTCCAAGAATATAGTCTACAGCTATATAATTCATGCAGTCAACCTTCAGTTCTTCTGCAATTGAAGAGAAAATTAAATAGGTCCTATCCCATGGTGATGGTTTAGGAAAGCAAAGTAGAAAATATTGCTGGTTGATTTTTCTATCAATGCAGGCTCTAGGGAAGAAGGTGGACTGCCGTGAAAGTTATGTGGGCTGCTAAACATTTTCAGAAATCCACTTATGAGATCACGGAAACTGCTGGTCTAGGAGTAAATATATGTCTTAAGTTGATAAAGAATTCATTATTGAAGCAATTACTTATTGCCTAAAAAATACACTTTGGTGTATTATTTTCCTTCTTACATTTATGCTGATTTGAGAGATTCTGATTTTCAGAAAGAATGCACCAAAGGCAATTCTGCAGTTTATTTCATCTTAGAGGAAGGTAGAATCTCTGTTTAGTAAGGGGAAAAAGCAGAAAACAACCCATAATTTTCTATGGTGACAAATACCCCCAATTAAAAATGGAATTGCGGTGAAATGGACCATATCATTAAAAACTCTTCTAGTGGTGATGGAAAAATGTTAATAATATATGGTTGTTAAAATGTTTTCTTCCTGGGAAGGAACAATTGCTGTATATTCTAGCAAGACCCGAATTTTGGAAACCCGGGTAGAGAACCTCAGAAACCTTGTTAAGTTACAAATTATGGTTAACAGTAAGCTAAGTAAACACTTTATAGTAAGCATTATAGCTAAGATATATGTGCCAGGAATTATACTGGGAACTTTATATGTCATGATCCCTAATTTATAGATGAGGAAACCAAAATCCAGAGAGGTGAAGTTCTTTGCCCAAGGTTGCACAGCATGTAAGATTGACTCCAAATCCCGTATTTGTCCAACTGTAATGTGCTGCTTTGTAACAAATTGCTGGACTTTTCCCTCAGCCTACTGGGTTAGATATCTGCCTCTCTATGAGCTAGTGCTCCATGCCCAGTCCTGAAAACTCTCTTGTGCACTGGAGAACCTTTGCCGTGAAGCACTTGAAAGCCCCCAGCTCTGGACTTGGGCTTGCTTTCAGTTTCACAGAAAGCCCTTGAGAATTTGAGTCAAAACATAACTACCTGGGATTCTATCTAAGGAAGTTAAATGAAGATTTGAGGAGTGATAATTAGTCAGTTCAGTATGAAAGAGGCACTTGGCTTTGTAAAAACTTTCTATTATGGAAAATTTCAAACATAAATAAAAGTAGAGAAAACAGTGTAATGAACCGCTACGTACACATCTCTCAGCTTCAACAATGATCAAATTCTTGCCAATCTTATTTTATCTGTTCTCCATCCATTCCGTCTGCTCTCCCCCTCAGGTTATTTTAAAGCAAATCCCAGATGTCGTATTAATTCATCTCCCAATATTTCAGTGTATATCTGTAAAAGATATCTTTTTTTTAAAAAAAGAACCTAACCATAATGTTATTTTCATACCTAAAAAATGTCAATTCTTTAATAGCATCAAAAATTAGACAATGTTCAAATTTCCTTGATTGACTCATAATTTTTAAAAATTTGTACAAATCAAGATCCAGATAAGATCCATATGTTGTAATTGATTTTTATGTCCTTTAATTCCCCTTTTGTCTGTAGGTTACCCCTCCATTTTTTCTCCCTTGGAATTTATTTGTTTAAAGCATTTGTTTGTCCTACAGTTTTCTAGGCTGAATTTTGTTATTTCACCCCTGTGGTGTCATTTGACATATTCCTACATCATCTGTATTTCTTGCAGATTTGTAGGTAAATCTAGAGGCTGGGCAGATTCAGTTTTTGTTTGTTTTTCTTTTTAGCAAAAATACCTTATAATTGGTATTCTGAGGTATAGTTTTCACAGGACAGTCAAGAAAAATTGCTTGATTCTTTCTTTTTTATTTACTACTGTTCAAAGTAATGAGCTTGTTCCAAACTAATATCTTCCAAAACTAACTAGTGAAGTTTGTTTGTGTTTTGAATATCATTACAGATTTCAATATATTTGAAGTATTCTAGTCCCTTGCAATTATTATTATTGATGCTTCAATTATTCCAACTTTGACAGTGGAGCTTCTTAAAATGGGCTCCTGAGTGGTTTTGATGTGACCCCAGGAATCTTTGATAATTTTCTTGCTTTCTGGTATAAGTGTTCCAGGTCTGAGGCCTGGAATTAGCCATTTCTTCAAGAAGCACTGTTTCTTTTTAATGGAAATTTGTATTTAAAGGCCACAACCGAGGTGATAGGAATCCTCCTTACCAGTGGATGAGTCACTGCTTTTAGGCCTATCAGTGGACAAAACTACCATGTATGTGAAGGCCGTGAGGTCTGTAGTGTCCACAAGGGATTGTCTTATTAGGCTCTACTCAACATTTGACTCACAAGACTATCATGGGCCACACTTGGCATCACATGCTCTCAGAAGGATACAGGACAGGAAACACTGCTTAACAGCAGGTCAGCATCAGCCATTCCTCTTCAGTGGAAGTAGTCCTCACAGCAGTCCACATAGCTGTCCAGGACGTCCCGGACAGTCAAGTATGAGGGAAAAAGGCCCACTTAAGGAAAGTGCAGGATCTGCCCTGGCTAGACGCCTCAATGCCCCATAGGAGCCAATTTCCCTTATAACAACTCCACAGTCCTAATGTTCAGGGTCTCTTCAAGTGAAGAATTGCCACACTCAGGGAAGCCCAAAGTTATGGCTTTCCATTAGATATTTATAATTCATACATAGAATTCCCAGGCCAGATGGAATTTATCAATCAGGGGTCGCTTTTACCATAAGCAATGTTGCCAAGTAACACAGTTGACATATCACCTTTGTCAGGTTTCCAGGAGAATAGAGGTAGAAAATTTTTTAAAGATAAAATACACCATGAATTATTTACACCGATTCCCATTTATAATTCAGGACTGAAGAAATTTTACTTCACCTCATTAATCTTATATCTGTATTTCCTTTTTCCCAAGCCAAAAATCACAGTCCCAATGACACCAGCATAATTACTCATTTGCTTTATCCCCTAATCCATATATAGCAGCCTCAGGATAACAGTATCGACACTACCACTGACAGGATGATTACTGCAATGGTTCAAGATTTTTTCCTTCCATTCTTTTTGTCCTCAGGGTATATACCACTGGGGATGGATGCATGGGTAAATTACTGTATATATATATATTTTTTTTTGGTGAGGAAGATTGGCCCTGAGCTAACATCTGTTGCCAATCTTCCTCTTTTTGCTTGAGGAAGATGGTGCCTGAGCTAACATCTGTACCACTCTTCCTCTGTTTTGTATGTGGGATGCCACCACAGCATGGCTTGACGAGCAGTGTGTAGGTCCATGTCCGGGATCTGAACCCACGAACCCCAGGCAGCCAAAGTGGAGCGTGCGAACTTAACCACTACACCACCAGGCCAGCCCCCAATTACTATATCTTAAACTTACTTAAAATAGTTTCTCTCCGTGTGGTTATGCCACTTCATGATAAATAGGTTCATTTGTTTAATGTTGCTTTCAATTTTAGGAACTTCTTTTCAAATTTAATTTCATATTATATAATTATAATTAATTGTATAATTATATAAAACATTTATAACATTCTGAAATCAAATCTATAAAACAAAGTATATTTAGAGAGGTCTAGTTTCTGTCTCTTCCTATCTCCCAACCTGGTTCCTTTCATGGGTAACCATTATCTTTATTTATTTTTTTTAAAGATTTTATTTATTTATTTATTTCCCCCCCCAAAGCCCCAGTAGATAGTTGTATGTCATAGCTGCACATCCTTCTAGTTGCTGTATGTGGGACGCGGCCTCAGCATGGCTGGAGAAGCGGTGCGTCGGTGCGCGCCTGGGATCCGAACCCGGGCCGCCAGCAGCGGAGCGCGCGCACTTAACCGCTAAGCCACAGGGCCGGCCCTGTAACCATTATCTTTAAAATTAAGATTTTGGTTTATTCTCCCATTATAAAAATAAGCAAAGTGTGTGTGTGTGTATTTTTTCCATCCCTTTTTGTAGATACACAGTAGTATATTATATACACTTTTTTCTACTTTGCTTTTCTACTGTCTACTTTGCTTTATTATATCCCAGTGTCTCATTCTGTGGCAGCATATAGAGATATTCCTCATTGCTTTTTACAGTGGTAATTAAGTCCAAATAACTATGGATGCACCATAGTTTATTCAGCCAATGCCCAACTAATGGACATTTGGGTTGTTTCCCGTTCTTTGCCATTACAAATGGCACTAATATTTTAAAAATAAACATTCCAGTGATCACAGTCACACTGGCTTTGCTTTACTTGCCCATCTGGCTGGTTTCACTTCAAATATGGAATTGAATTTTGATGCTTTCGAGCCTACAAAAAGTCAAATGATGATTCCTTCTTTGATTTACTCCTTTTTTAGGCAACAAGATTGATCTGGCTGAAAGGAGAGAGGTCTCCCAGCAGAGAGCTGAAGAATTCTCAGAAGCTCAGGACATGTATTATCTGGAGACCTCAGCCAAGGAATCCGATAATGTGGAGAAACTCTTCCTTGACTTAGCGTGCCGCCTCATCAGTGAAGCCAGGCAGAACACACTTGTGAACAATGTGTCCTCACCCTTACCTGGAGAAGGGAAAAGCATTAGCTATTTGACTTGTTGTAATTTCAATTAAAGGCTGAGGCAAGAAGCAAAAGGAATCAGCGGCTGCCCCGATGGGCCACGAATTGCTAGGGAGATCTGGCTATGACTGTGGCTCCTGCTCTCGGACCTTCTGACTCCTGTGGGCTCCTGAGCTTACAAAGCATGGCAGGCCAAGGGCCTTGTCCACAGGCCAGCATTAGCAGAACATATAATGGTTTCACCCTTTTGCAGTCTGAGTCGGAGCAAGGAGAAAATTTGCACTAGGCGCTCCATGATCTGCAGAGCATGTTGCTTTTGTTTTTTTAAAAAAGCAAGTAAAAGTGCATTCCTGAACACAGTCCAGGGGGAAATGTACTGTAGGGATCCCTCCTGCACGTCGGTGGGTGCATGTAGGGGCTGTGCTTTAGGGTTTCTGGGGGCCCTGGTTTTCTTGTCTACCAGATAAACCAAAACTGGGAAGGCCAAGTACTGTCTCTGTGGTGTGTGTTGATGACCCCATGGAGATTTTCAAAAGTGTTATTTCTCTTGTCCATAGGCACTTTCAAGAACTTTGGGATGTAAAAATGAAATGAAACCTTTACCCATGACCAACAGTAACAGTCATTGTTTTAATATATACAAGCTCCATGACTCCTTTTGGTGCTAAGGATTCTGCTCTATCACACACAGACCAAACATTTTAGTACGTTGATGTCCTTAAATGTATTACTTAGAAATAAAAAAAAAAATAAGGGAAGTCCATGAATCAGCACTCTTTCTCAAAGTCTCATTACTACCTTTTCTAGGGTGGATTTTTTGGACAAGAGAATACTTTCCTTTCATGTTCCCCTCTAACTCTCTACCATTTTCTTCTTCTATCCTCTCATTTTTCCTGCTGTTTAAGTAAATGAAAAAGTTTGAAAAATGAAAAAATAATGATGGTTTGATGATATTCCAGTATAAAAGAGTAGCTCTAAGACATTATGAGTAGTATGAGAAAACAGACCAGATCCGACCAAATACTGTGGATTAATGGACTGCAGTGCCGAGTTCAAGCAGAGCACAGTCCTTGGTAGCAGGTCACATCTTTTACTTCCTGGTACTATCCATCTTGGACAGACCAAGGCTTAGGATTTTGTAGATGTTTTTAGTATGATAAGTGAGAATAGCATCAGATGAAGTCTCACGAACCATTTTTGTATCTTCAATGATAACCGTAGAAAAATTTTGCTTGTGGAAGCAGGTTGAGTCGTCATTTGTCACCTCTTTCTTGTAGTAATGTTACTCTCAGACTCATGACATACATTCTTTCCTGTTTCTTTTTCTTTTCCTCTCTCTCTTTCCTGGTCTCCTCCTCTTTTCCTCCTCTTCACCCTCCCTTCCTTATATGCATGTGTTACTGCAAATCTCCAATTCAGATGGAGATGTATATGCGTTTACTTAGCCAATTTTAAAACAGGACTCAAAATGGAAGATGTGCTGCTGAATATGTGTTACTATTTCTTCAGTGCCATACTTTGATACCTTCTAATTTGTTTACTGATATAAATGCAAATTGGGAAAATAATTAAACCTGTATGCTGTTGATGCTGTCAGATGTTTCTGTAGCTTGCTGCTTAGCATAACTGCAGGATGAGAATTGAATTAGGGTATGATATGTAATTTCACTGTTGCTGTAGATGGTGGCAATCTCGGTCCTGATATGTTGATGTTTGAAAGCTATTTAATTTTAGAGAAATGAGTCATATAGAGACATGATCTTGACGCAGCATTTCTAGCATTTCTCTAGCAGGTTTCAGAGTGACCAATCTCTTGCACGTAGGGATTATACATATTGTTTAATGGGCTGATACTTTTGATTGGTCTCACTGTGTTTGTCCTGATCCTATGGGTAAGAGAAGATTTCCCAGAAGTTTGGATTGCTTTTATTTTAGAATCTATCTCTACAGGAAAGAAACATCATTTTCATAAACACCAACCAAAATAATTTATAATCGTTGCCTTTCCCTCCCCATTTTCCCCACTAAGCCAGCAACTAAACGTATTCAGAAAACAAGTTGATCAAGGTGGCAGAAGAACTTCTGTTTTTAAACTGTGAAGAAATGTTCTTAAGTTTGGATTTTTGACCTAAATGCAAGATGATAAATCTAATGTCCCCAGCACAACATGACCCAACTTTGTCTCGCAGCAGAAAGTGTGTTGAAAATAAAGTTGCTTTGTGAACTTAGATGATAGGACTTTGTTAGACTGGACAAATTTTATCATAAGATAACAGCTTCTAGGACCACTCTTGCATTCTGAAATTCTTATTCCCCAGAGCTCAGCCTCCTCTGTCTACCCTTGCCCACTCTCAGAAGGGGATTAGAAGGCTCTGCTCTTGGCCCCTTTCTTTCCTGTTACTCCTCCCAGCCTTCCTGTAACTTACAGTCACCCATCCATGGCCCGTCAGCAGGGACACAGAGAATGTAGGGCTTTGTTTCTTTTTTTTCCCTTAGTTGTGTGAATTCCAGGTTAGGCCTTCTGGACATATGTTCACTGAAGTTTCTCAAGTTTTAGAACAATTCCTGACCATATTGTAGGTGCTCGATAAATATTAGTTGAATAAACAACTTAGTGCCAAGAGGAGCTTTTCTGGTTAAATAGAAATTTCTCAAATAGAACTTGAGACAGGATACTAATTAAATGTGGTTATCTTAACCCAGGCCAAGACCTAAACTTATTGGTTTGCCTACTAGTTCTTATTGTCATGGCAATATTTGCTAACATGAGCCTTCTTAAATAAAAATGAATTATCGTTTAGTGGTGGATGAAGAATAGAGTTGCTTTCTCATAATTCAGTTTGGCTTGATCTGACTCATAAGACTTCCAGAGTCCATGTCTGCTTCCATTTTTGGTGTGATCTTTTTCTTCTTTTAATAAAGTTACTAAATATATGGCAAAATTTTTTTCAATTTCCGATGAAAATCCATTGTATTCATGTCAAGGAGCCAGGTTTGGGAGAATCTGTGAAATCACATAGCTTACTGATATTAATGATATTTTATTATGGCTTTGTGTAGACTGTAGCCTTTAAGGATTTTGTGCTTTCTCTTTACCTGTGAAAGGCTTTTTATTCCTTTATATGCTTTTATTAGATCTAGTGAATTCTATTAACATTTAATTTTAATTATACTGGGCCATTTATCCTTTCTGTGAATTACTTACATTAGGCCATTGGCCTTTCCTGGCCTTTTTCTCCCCTTTTTGTCATTTCATTTTAGCATCTCTTCCTGAGTAAAGTAGCAAGAATATAACTAAAAATGAAAGTCAAAAGGATTGATTTGACCATATGTCAATTTCTGATTTAGAGTTTGGTAAGAAAGGTAAAAAACACTGGCCAAAATAAGATATTTGGATTAGGTTATTTATTTTAAGCAATTTAGACTTGTTGGAGGGAGGAGGCAGAATTTAACAGAGGACTGGATTCTTCTTCTTTCTTCTTCTGTCCATGAATGTATGCCTTTTGATGACAATAGTGACTTACAGTGTTAGATCAATGATTTGCCTCCTTTACCCTTTAAGCTATCCTGTTAATTCTTCCAGATCCAGCATCAAGTTTCAGTAAATGATGAATGATGATTCAGATGATTAATCATTCTGAATAAATACCAGTTGCAAGTGATTTTGAATTGGTCTCCTGACTAAAGTGAAAACATGTTTTTTATAAACCAAGCCACATGACTGAGATATCATCTTATTATAATCAGAAAAAAACTTTATTTTTTCCCACATATCAAACCAATGGCTTTAAAGATAGACATTTTCTATTTCTTAAGCCTGCAGAACTCTATCTCATGGTCATAAGTACTTTAGGGCTCACTGTCCTATTATTCTCTGAAAGAGCTCTTCTAGAGTTTGCCATTTCTTTTTTCTAGAATTTTTTTTAACTGCAACTGGTTACTTACTTTCCACAACCATGGTCCTGACAGATGTGTTTTAATGTAACTATAATAATACTTTTGAGACTTAACTAGAAGATCAAAAGCAGTGAAAAAACATGTGTATCTCTTCCTTCAGACAAAATGTATTCCACATAAGCATTATGGTTGAACACTAATTTTGGAATAAGAGAGAGATATGTTTTCTTTATTCTTTTTGGATTTCATTTCTGGGACATAAGCTTATTTGTGTTTGGAAGGAAAGCTGCCTTCCCTTACATTCTTCACATTGGGTGTGAAGCATACTGAATTAAGAAATTTTCATCCCTTCAAATAGCTAATTAATGTCATGTTAGAATGAGGTTGATGACACTGCATCTCCTTTCCTAAGTCCATGATGTTGGCATGATACAGTCATTTTTGGGAGCCATACTTTGAAATTAAAAACAAATTGAGGCATAACAAAGATGGTGAAGGAATTTAAAATTTAAGACGTTTCAAGAATATTTGAAGAATTTTTGCAGATTTAGACTGGGAAAGAGAGAAATACCATTAGTCCATTAGAGCAAGACTCTGGTTGAAAGAGATGGAATGAGGCCCACTGAACAGATGCCAAAAGGCCACAGATTTGGGCTCCATGTCAGGGAGAACTTTCTCAAGAAGTGGGTTCACCATGGAAGGGGGCTGCCTTGGGTAATAGTCTCCGGCAAGCAGAGGCTAGATAAGAACTCGGCAAAGATGATGTGGAGAGGATCCCAGCACTAGTTGGGGGTTGGACCAGATGACCTATTAACTTAAAATTCTGTGATGCAGTACTTTGCCCCTTATAACATGTTCCATTAAATATCTGTTGACCCACAGCTATTTTTTCAAAAAAGCCTTTGCTTTTCTGCCAAAAGTACATCCCACCCTCCAGGAAGGAGGTTGGTTATAGGTTATTAGGGCAAGAGACTGGCTTGCCATTATGCCCTCAGGTGGGATTGCTTTCTTAGTCCATTCACTGATGATCTGTTGAAATCACAAACTGGTTCTTGACTTAAAAATAAAAAAGTATTGTTTTAGTAGAAGTTACATGAAATCATGGAAATTATGTATTTATTATTTGCCAAACATAGGTCATGCTCACTTTAGTGAATTATTGGTGTCTCTTCAGAATTTCAGGATAGGCCTTTTCAATAGAGCAGAATTTTCAGTTAAAGATCCCATAAATATACCGACATGAAGTTTTGAAGTTCCCATCAGAGATGGGCTGGTGGGTCACTGGCATAAAGCAGTCCCCAAGATCTGTTTTGGAAAAATCTAAAATGACATTTGTTTGATTGTCTTGAAAAAATATGATCTGAAAATGATTTTAAAAGAACTGAGGCCAAATTGCTTCATATAGAAAGTAACAAAACATAAGTCTTTGATTTGAAAATCAGAGATAACTATAAGTAGCATTTGCTAACAAAACCTATGACCCAAATGATTCCACCTGCAAGATAACTTGTATCCTTGCTGGGCTGATGGCTCTTCCTTGGTCTTTTAAAAAAAGCCATTGCTCTTGCATCAGTATGGTAAGAACATACTTGAGATTGGGTGAAACTTTGAATCCTTTGGGTAAGAGGTCAGAGCACGAAAGCTGGCCACCTCTCCTTCTTTAATTGACTTCCTGAGATGCAAGAGTCAAAATTTTACTTTCCCACTGAGTAAAAGCAGAGTTTTTGGAGATGTGTTCTAGTTCCTGATGGAATCTTTAATGGGTTGTGACTTGGACACTTCAAGGAGTGGTGTAGGGAGGTGTATGGAAGGGGGAACACTAGGCTAGGTGTGAGGAGTTCTAGTACTGCCATGAATTAGCTGTGACTTGATGCAAAGCACA